TTTTGCATTTATTTAGACCTGTTCTGTGCGCCAGTACATGGTCTATTTTGGAGAATGATCCATGTGCAGCCAAAAAGAATGTATATTCTGATTTTTGAGGGTGGAATACTCTATAAACATCTATTAAGTCCATGTGTTCCAAAGCTTGGTTCAGTTCTATTATTTCATTGTTGATTTTCTGCCTAGATGATCTGTCAATTTGTGATAGTGGGGTATTTAAATCCCTGACTACAATTGTATTAGTGCTTATTTGTTTTTTCATGTTACTTAATATTTGTTTTATATAGCTGGGGGCATTTATATTTGGTGCATATATGTGTATGATTGTCAACTCTTCCTCTTGAATTGTTCCCTTTACAAGGATGTAGTGCCCTTCTTTGTCTCTCTTAATGAGTTTTGGTTTGAAATTTACTTTATCTGAGAATAAGATTGCTACCCCTGCTTTTTTCTGGACTCCTGACGCATGGAGAATTGTTTTCCATCCTTTCACTTTCAGTCTATGGACTTCCTTTTGCACTAGGTGTGTTTCTTGTATACAACATATTGTTGGATTTTGCTTCTTAATCCATTCTGCCAATCTGTTTCTCTTGATTGGTGAATTGAGGCCATTAACATTGATGGTTACAACTGATATATTTTGACTTATTCTTGTCATGTTTTTGTCCATTTGTTGACTCTTTTTACTTTTTCTCCCATCTCCTTTTAGTTTCTTGCCTTGCCTATTTGATTTGGTCTGTTGGGCCTCATGTTATTGTGAATTTCGTTGTCCTTTTCTAGGATATTGTTTAGAATTCCTTGCAGTGCTGGTTTGGTGTTCATGAAATTTCTCAGGTGCTCTTTGTCGTGGAAGTATTTTATTTCCCCATCTATTTTGAAAGAGAGTTTTGCAGGATACAAAAGTCTAGGTTGGAGATTCTTTTCTTTTAGGACTTGGAATACCTCACTCCAGGCTCTCCTTGACCTAAGGGTTTGTGTTGAAAAGTCTGCTGTGATTCTAATGGGCTTCCCTTTGCATGTGATTTGTTTCTTTTCTCTTACTGCTTGTAGTATTTTGTTTTTCTGTTGGATTTCTGGAATCTTGATTATTATATGTCTAGGTGTAGATTTTTTTTGATCGTGGCTAGTTGGGGTTCTATATGCCTCACTTATCTGTATGTCTAATTCTTCCCTTCTGTTTGGGAAGTTTTCTGTCATTAATTCTGTGAAGAGCTTTTTTATATCATTTGTGTTTTCTCCTGTTTTTTCATGAATTCCTATCAGTCTTATGTTATTTTTCTTTGTATCGTCTAGGAGTTGTTGGATTGATTTCTCATGATCCCTTACTGTTTTTAATAGACCTCTTTTTTCACGGTCACTGACTGCTATCCTATCTTCTATATCTGAAATTCTATCTTCGCAATCTTTTATTCTGTTGCGTACACTTTCAATAGAGTTTTTAATCTCCTGGATATCTGTTTGAATCTGTTTTATGGATTCCATTTCTTTCCTCTGTTGGGCATTCATTGTTTCCATTTCTTTCTTATGCTGAGTCTTCATGGCTTCTATCATGGTCTTGAGCTCATCTATTTTTTTGTCAGTTTCTGCTCTAGAGTCTCGAATCATGACTTCCATTTTGCTCATCATCTCTCTGGTTAACTGGGAAATTATTTCTGATTTGAATTTTTCTAGAGCCTGATTGATCTGTTTTGTTACCTCCTGTGCTATGGGTCCAGGGAGTCCTGTTGGTTCACTATCAGACTTTTCATCCTCATTTGTCCTACTATTTGCCATTGGTGAACTGGAAATCTGTTTTTGTGTCTTGCTTAAGTGTTTTCTCATTTTTATTTTTATTGTTGGGTTGTCCTTCTTTAATTTCTGGGTATTACTTAAATCTTCCTAATATAGTTGCGTTTTAGCTTTTGAGTTTCTAATGACTCATAGACATCCTCATTTTCATAATATCAGAGAAAACAACTCTTTAAATCATTCACAACCCTTTGTCCCAATTGATACATTCAGCAGCACAATGGGATCAGGCACAGCTTGCAAACTGACCACTTGTGGTAGTCATTAATGTATCCCCTTTAACTCATGTGAAGTAAATTAATTTCAAGAAGCAGCCCATAGTATGTTTGCAGTGAATATGCTTTTCAATATACCATCTTTACCATTTAGGATGGGGGGTTAGACTTAGAATGAGAGGATTAGATAAGTGAAAGAATTAGAGCAGGTTTGAAGTGAATCCAGAGGTTGTAGAATTACCTTACTATCTTTACAAAGCTATTAACTTCAGGGGGGATAGAGAGAGTGCAGGAATAAGGACAAGAATATATCCCCTTAACAATAACAGGCGCTTGCCTTCCCTTGAAGGTACAGAGCATGAGTGAGGTAAAATGACTGGAGAAAAGAACATAAAGAGAAACCCCTCCTAAAAACAAAAAATAATAAAAGAAGAAGTCTGAGTTAGGGCAGGAGCCGGAATAAAAAGGGAGATGAGGGACATTATGGTGGAGCAAGAGACTGAGTTGGAGAGAGAGGACAGAAAAGAGAAAGAAATTTTAGGGTGGAATGAGGAAAAGAAAAAAAGAGAGAAAAAGAAAAAAAAAAGAATTTGAAGGGCCTCTTTCAGACTGTCTCTGTTCTCACATTATACCACATGTACAGCCATATGCAGAACCGAATCCCCTGGTCTCAGCTAGCCAATGGCAGTTCCCCACGACTGAGATTGAACACAGTCTACAAGGCCTAACTTGAGTTTCCCTACCCTCAGGGTTGAACTCCACTCAGTTCTATTACAGGTTTCCCCTGCCCTTTCTTTAAAGATGTTCAAAGTTGGGAGCTCAGAAAACTACCCTTCATGAGAACGTATGGTTCTGCAGAGTTGGCCTAAGGACTGGCCCAATCAGGAGGTTTGAGAATGGGGGGGAAGGTCGTGGGGGTGTTTCAAGGGCACCCGTGCGGCTACCTTCCTCGCTGGGTCTGTTGTCACGCAGTTCGGGAGGTCGTGCATGCGCTGGGTGATCTCAGGCAGGCAGGCAGCTGAAGAGACCCCCTCTGGGGTCTTTGGGTCCTTGCTGGGTCTGTGTCGCGCAGTCCGGGAGGTTGCACACCTGCCGGGTGATCTCAGGCAGGCAGGCAGCTGAAGAGACCCCCTCCGGGGTCTTTGGGTCCTTGCTGGGTCTCTTGTTGCGCAGTCTGGGCCATTTGTTTTTTTAGATGAGATCTCACTCCATTGCCCATGCTGGCCTGGAACTTGTGGGCTCAAAGTGATCCTCTTGCCTCAGCCTCCTGAGTAGCTGGCACTACTGATGTGCATTGCCATACCTAGCTGCTTAACTCATAAACTTCCTTCAAATTCATACTTTAGAGTAAGCATATAATGGAAAGGGCATTAAGCCAGGCATGGTGGCATACATCCGGATCCTCAGCACTCTGGGAGGCTGAGGCTGAAGAAGATTGCAAGTTAGAGTTCATCCTGGGCAATGTAGTGACTTAGCAAGACTCTGTCTCAGAATTTTAAAAGGACTGGGATGTAGCTGAATTGGAAGGTCCTGGGTTTAATCACCAGTACTAAACACACCCCCCACACACACACACAGACACCCCCCCCCCACACTCTAGTTTTTAATCCCTAAGGGTGATAACATTTGTTGGCGATAGTAAAACCATGAAGCTGCTCATTCATTTTTCATTTCTTTTCTAGTTATCATACTCAGTATGTTTCCACTGACTGAGGAAAACAAGCATGTGGCCCAGTTGTTGTTCAACACTGGTACCTGTCCAAGATGTATCTTCAGATTCTGTGGTGTGGATTTTCATACACCTTACAGACTTCCATATAAGGTATTTTCATTTTTTAAAGGTAGAAGTAGTTTTTTGTGTCTTTTTTTTTTTCCTGGTACTGGGAATCGAACTTGGGTCTTTGCTTTTGTGAGGCAGGCAGCGGAACGACCGAGCTAAATCCCTGGCCCTTTCTGTGTCTTAAAATAAATATTTGTATCTTCAAAGGCAAGTATCTATAACCCTTGATTAAATTAAAAAATATATAATGAAATAATTACTGATAATGGTAATTTTGGAATTGCCATTATATTAAAAAATTAATCTCAGGAATGTAAGTTGCTTCTGAAATGATTATATCTAGCATTTAGTATAGAGGGATCTTTGTGGAGGAATTCCCTGGTACATTTACTATCTGTGTAGACCTTTCCTAATGGGTATCCAAACAGAATTATCACAAAATATTGCTTTTCACCAGATATTATTTTATTTTTATTTTTATTTTTGGATTTTTGAGACAGGGTCTCACTATGTAGTTGAGACTAACCTGGAACTCACTGTGTAGCCCAGGCTGGTCTGGAACTCACGGTGATCCTTCTGCCTCAGCCGCCCGAGTGCTGGGATTACAGGCGTGCGCCACCACTCCCGGCCTTCACCAGATATTATTAAGGTATAATAGGAAGGGGTGATAGTCCTGATCTCTTCTATTAAGTGGCAGCATTATGGGTTTGATTGCTTTTTTTCTTCCTCTGTATTGCCATTTTTGTGCTAGAGTTTGAATTCAGGGCTTCATGGTAGGCAAATATTCTACTATTGAGAATATCCTTAGCCTATCATTTGTATTTATACATCTGTATTGTCATGCATCATTTTATGAAGGGGATATTTTCTGAGAAGTACATCCTTAGGTGATTTTGTGACTGTGTGAACATCACAGTATGTACTTAAACTAAGATGGCTACTGTGTCACTAGGCAACAGAATTTTTTTTTTTTTTGGTACCAGGGATTGAATTTGGGTCCTTGTGCTTGTGAGACAGGCGGTGGAACCACTGAGCTAATTCCCTGACCCTAAGGTAACAGAATCTTAAGGGGCTACTATTTATATATGAAGTCCACTGTTGATGGAGACAGGTGGTACATAACTGGATTCGGAACCCTATAAAATAAATGCTTATTATCATTATTACTGCTAGTACTGACAACAAAAGTTAGCAGAGATCTTTGACATTTATGGCAATACACAGAGAACTTTATCATTTAATAGAATACTTTCACATAAAATATAGAATATTTGTGAAATATGTTTGATTCAATAGTAACATTCTTTCAGAAGCAAATAGTAATGTTTCTTATTTTAAACAGTGCCGAGGAGTTAGTCATAGCTATAATTTTTCCTATATGATTAGTTCCTATTATTTTGGAAATAGTAATAAAGCTTACCATTACTATATATCAGGCTCTCATATAACCCTCATAATAACCTATTAGGTAAATACATACTATAATTGTCTCTATTTTCAGATGAAGAAACTCAGACACAGAGGGCCGGGGATTTAGCTCAGCGGTTCGGTGGCCTGCCTTGCAAGCACAAGGACCCGAGTTCAATCCCCGGTACCAAAAAAAAAAAAAACGAAACTGAGACACAGAAAGGTTAAGCAACTTGCCCAAAGCTACTTAAGTGAGCAATCTGGGATTTGACAGTCTGTCTGAATCTAAAGCCTAGGATTTGGTGCTAGAAGACATGAATTTGAATTCCAGTTTTACCACTTTCTAGCTTCAGTTTACTCTTCTGTATGAGCATAACACTTGCCTCATAAGATTTTAAAAGACAGTATCTAATAAGTATGTGAAAACACTTTGACAACTGGCAGTGATACATATGTGATGATGATTAATATATATGTGTATATTCGCTACATACAACGTGAAAGTGAAGTAATAGGACTGTTTTTGTGTAGCTTTCCTTATACATTTTGTTTGTTTGTTTGTTTGAGACAGAGTCTCACTATGTAGTCCAGACTGGCCTTAAACTCACTCTGTAGTCCAAGCTGGCCTCAAATTTGCTGCAATCCTCCTGCCTCAGCTTCCCAAATGCTGGAATTACAGGCATGTGCACCACCATACCTGGAACTTTATATATTTTTAAAGATATTGCAGTCTATTATTTTATACCCATGCTGTAAGATTCAAAATATGTATTATACAGCCTGGCAAGCATGAGGACCTGAGTTTGATCCCCAGTCCCTCCCCCCCCAAAATGTATTATATAGAGATGGTTACCAGCTGTAATTTATAACATAAAAAAGATGTAAAGATATGTGAAGACTAAATACTCTTAAATTTTGATCTGTTCAACTCATATTACTAAATATGTATTGTGGATCTATTTGTACTATTATACTGACATTTCAGGAATTATGTAATAATAAATATATTTGTGTGGGTCATAATTAGCTATATGTGTATATATACTTTTGTTAAAATAGAAGAGCTAATGTCTCAGGGCTGGGGATTAGGCTCAGTGGTTCTGCTGCCTGCCTGGCAAGTGCAAGGTCTTGAGGTCGATTTCCGGTACCAAAAAAAAAAAAGCTGTTTCAATAAAATTACTTAAATTTGTTTGAATGAAAGATTTTTTTCCCTTGAGTCAGTATAATCTAAATGCATTTCATAAAGATATTCAACTAAATAATAAAACTTATCCTATATAGAAGAAAGGGGAAAAGTCCTCTGACATTTAGATGAGTAGAATATTTGAACTATGAGAATGTTTTCAAAAGAATGCCATTTTTTACATTCTTATACAAAGAATGACAAATTACATAAACCAGAATATAGGAGAGGTCTTCTTTTAATTAATACATATAAATCACTTGTAATTTTGGTGCCAAATTTCAGTACTGCCAGCATCTGTGTACTTTGTGTAATAAATTGTCTCAAAGTGATTTTTACTTAATAGATCTATATTCTGTGTCTAATAATGAAATTTTACATTGCACCAGTCTTTATGAGATTTTAGTGATTGGGAGGTTGTTAAATAGTTTAGCAAGGATGGAAATTCAGTTTTACTTTTATTCTTTCTTTTTTTTGCAGGACTAAGGTTTGAACCTAGGGCTTCCAGTGTGCCAAGCAGGTGTTCTACCACTGAGCTACCTCCCCAGCCCAGCTTATTAATTAGAATGAAAGTTTGTTTTACTGAAATTAGCAAGCAAATAACACTCACAGTAGAACTATAAACCAAATGAATACATTTATTGATGGAGCATTTCTGCCTAAGATTGAGAATTTCAGCATCACTAATATATAGAACTTTTTAAAGAAAATATTTCCACATATGTAATAGGAGTTTTAGTTAAGTCTCCCTAGAAAGCTAATGCTGGCTAAGAAAATAAACTGATTGTTTCAAGATTGATTGTACAATTCTCTAATGCATCAAAATTTTTACTTGTTTTCCTGCTTCATTTTTTTCTAGAAACCCATAAGGGCATTATAAAAGGGTTATTGCTTTTTTGTTGTTGTTGTTAATTTTTCAGGAGTTGCTCCATGATCTACAGAAATTTTTGGAGACTGAAAAAGATGAATTAATTTTGGAAGTTCTAAATCCACCCCCCAAGAAAATTAGGCTGCAAGAATTGGAAGATGGGATCGATAATCTGAGTCAAAATGGAGAGGGCAGGAACTCTGTTATTGACAATGGAAGTGTTGCTTCCAAGAACTCAAATTTAAATGTATGTAATGTTTGTCTAGGGATTCTTCAAGAATTCTGTGAGAAAGAATTCATTAAAAAGGTAAATTAGTAATTTATTACAGATATAATTATGTAGAGATTTTTAGTTGTAAGGTTTAGAATTCATGTATGGAAAGGAACAGTACTACTCATTTTGACTTGTTTCATACCAATGAATCATTAAAATGTTTTTTTGTTTTGTTTTGTTTTTTGAGACAGGGTCTCACTATGTAGTTGAGACTGACCTGGAACTCACTATGTAGCCCAGGCTGGTCTTGAACTCACACAGCAGTTCTCCTGCCTCAGCCTCCTGAGTGCTGGATTACAGGCATGCACCACCATGCCCAGCCATTAAAATGTTTTTTTAATTTAAAGAAACAAAAGCCTGCCACTCTGAAATTCCTTTGTGTCAACATGTGTGAAAATTAATGAACTGTTTCTGTGTATTTCATTCACGAGTGCTGTTCAACTGAAGAAAATTATAGCAATTTATTTTCCTCTTGTTCTTTAACATAACTAAAGTTAAAGTTTATTTTTCCTGTTATTACCTAGAAAAGACAAATGTTATAGCTTTTTTGTGTATGTGATGTGTGTTTGTTTTTTTTGATACTGGGATTGAACTCAGGACTTGAGTTTGTGAGGCAGGTGCAGCGCCACTGAGCTAAATTCCCAGTGCATAAATGTTACAGCTTTGTAAAAGGTAAATGGTTGGATGTAGAATTGCCTTTTGTTTACTGCAGCAGAGAATGTTATATTTTATTTCCTTTTATTTGAAAACATTTAAAAAATTATGAAATGACCTAATAGAAAACTATTTTGATACCCAGATTATTTTGCAGTTGTCAGTTCTAGCTGTTTTCATACCTGACAATATTAGTCTTCTGGGCCATAGTGAGCAAAAACAAGATGTTTATGAGAGGGATTTTTAAAAATTTTATTTTGCGGTGCTGGGGATGGAAGCCATCACCTGGTGCATGCTAGTAAGTGCCCTTCTATTGAGCTACATTCTCAGCCCTCAAAGGTGAAAGTTTGAAATTTTTGTAGTGTTATTTCCTGAACCAGAAATTTATGTGATTAGACTAATATTTTCAGCAACTTGTGGGGATTTACATAACTATAATACTTTTTTAGGTATGCCAAAAGGTTGAGACCTCTGGGTTTGAATTCACCAACTTGGTATTTTCAGTCTCCTTCCCACCACAGATATCTGTAAGAGAGGTAAGATCATTTACACACATAAAATTATATGTGAAATGCACACGAGGAATTTCTCAACACAGGCATGTAGAAATCCTATTGTTTTTTTCTATTTTGTGTATTTATTGAATGATTGAAGAAATTTATAGCTGCTTACTAATACTTGTTAAATGATTGGATAGAAAAGGAATTATTAGTTTCAGTCAGTTTATTCATCTCAGAATATTTTTTTTTTCCCCTTTTGGTGCTTGGGATCAAACCTAGTGCTTTCCACTGCCCCACCCTTTTTCCTTTACTTTTGTTTTTGAGACAAGGTCTTGCTATGTGTAGTTCAGGTAGGCCTTGTACTCATTAAGTAGTCTAGGCTGGCTTCAGACTTGCAGTGATCCTCCTTCCTTAGCCTCCCAAGCAAACCCAGGGCTTTTCAAATGCTAAGCACTTGCTCTAACCCCAGCCCCATACCATATTTTTAAAAGATGATCATTCATTAGCAGATATTTACTGAGTGTTAACTCTTGGTGAAGCATGATAGTCAGAGAAAGAGATTTAGCCAGAACTCCAGAGATCTTTTAAGGCAGATATGAACATTTTGGAGTAGTCCTAGTATAGGGTCATTTTAGTTATGAGGAACTTTCTTATTCTCTGGAGTAAAATATAAAAAGCAGCTTCCAAGCTGGGCGTGATGACGCACACTTGTAATCCCAGCACTCGGGAGGCTGAGGCAGGAGGATTGCGGTTAATTCAAGACCAGCCTGGGCTACATAGTGAGTTCCAGGTCAGTTTCAACTACATAGTGAGACCCTGTCTCAAAAAACTGAAAAAAAAACCAAAAACAAAACAGCTTTCCTTCAATAAAAGAAAGGGAGAGAAATAGCCTCATGTTGATCTGTTTTTTGTTTAAGTGGAAAAATAAACATAGAACTGCCTTTGTTAGTACTGTAAAATGAAGTATAAAGAAAAATTCCATAATCTTGAAATGCAACCATGGGTTCTAAACATATCCACTTACATTTATGAGGTATCTTTCCTCTAAGAATTCCAAAGCATCACTAGAATATTATATTTTATCCCATTACTTTCTTTGAGTGAGCATGTTTATTAGCCACAAGTAAACTAGAGACTTAATTAAGACTTACTGAAGCTGGATAGAATGTTAGAGAACTTGGAAGTGAACAAAAGAGTAAAATGATTGTAAGTGGTATCTGTTCATGACAATGGATTGATGATAATATTCCAGAGTTCATAAACACTTGAATCATTTTTTAGTCAATCATCAAAGCATTGCTCACTGACAATTCATGTTTAGGTCCAGTTTTGGTGGATGGAAATAGATTTCCAAAAATTAAGTGACTCAAAAGTTACAGTGTTTGAGTACTAAAAATAGGACTTAGAAGTATATTTTCTTTTCTTTTTTTTTTTTTTTTTTTTTTGTACCAGGGATTGAACTCAGGACCTTGTATTTGCAAGGCAGGTGCAGTTCCATTGAGCTAAATCCCCAGCCCATAGAAGTACATTTTCTAAAAAAATGAGAAAATGAAAAAAAAAATGGAAATAAAGTGTTTGTAAATAGGGAGGTGAGGAGGAGGTGAAGGGAGGGCAGGGACAAGGGGAGAAAATAAAAACCAAGACCTGTCATGTAAAGGTACAAGATCCCAATAATGAATGTAACTGTACTGTATTCCTAAAATGTACCAATAAACTCAATGAGAAAAAAAAAGTACATTTTCTAACTGTGGTTATATATCTTACCACCAAAACTTTCCCTTTCAAAATTTGTGTTTTTTGTATTAAAAATTATTATCACATATTAGCAATATTAATTTAATATTTATTAAATACTGAGATATTTATATTTCTTATCAGAAATAGAAGGTTCTGTTTTTAAACATAAATATATTCTGCTTAAACTCTTTCTTTTTTGAGATGGTCGTGGTGGCACATGCCTGTAATCCCAGCACTCAGGAGGCTGAGGCAGGAGGATTGCTGTGAGTTCGAGACCAGCCTAGGCTACATAGTGAGTTCCAGGTCATTCTCAACTACATAGTGAGAGACCCTGTCTCAATAAACCCAAACAAACAAACAAACAAACAAACAAAACCCCCCCAAAAAAGTCTTTCTTTTTTTAATTATTTTAACAAGTAAACTATTTTAGCAGAAATATATGATGTTCCATGGAGAATTTCCATAGTTTAATGTGTTGTTTTATTATTTTTATTTTTGTTACTGGGTAGCATTCTTATCTATTTAAGAAGAATAATTATTCAGGCCAGCCATAGTGGCGCACACCTGTAATCCCAGCACTCAGGAGGATGAGGTAGGAGGATTGCTCTAAGTTCAAGTCCAGCCTGAACTACATGGTTAGACCCTGTCTCAAAAAAATTAATAGTTTTTTTTTCTGTGCCCTCCCTTCACCCCTCCTCCCCTCCTCATTTACAAACACTTTATTTACATTTTTTCATTTTCTGATTTTTTTTTCTTTTTCCTTATTACCTTTCCCCTACCCTTCCCACTTTCCCTACACCTTTAACCCTTTTCTTCCTATTTCACATTGTCAATTATCTCATTAAGATTTTATGTACTATTATAGTTTTTCACACCAGAGAAACTATTTGGTATTTACACATGTGTGACTTATTTATTTCACTTAGGAGTATATCCTCAATATGTATCCCATTTTCCTATGAATGAATCTAATTTCTCATTCTTTATGGCTGAGTAGTATTCCATTTTATAGAAAAACCACATCTTCTTTATCCAGTTTCCAACTGATGGGCAAATGGGCTGTTTCCAAGATTTAGCTATTATAAACTGTGCCGCTATAAACATGAGTGCGCATATATCACTGTGGATGATTCCTTTAATTCTTTTGGAAAAATACCCAGCAGAGGGATGGCTGGGTCAAATGGAACCTCTAGTTCCAGCTCTTTGAGGTCTCTCCATATTGATTAATGATTATTTTTATATAAAATTATAATAATCAAGAAATTTAAGGTTCACTTTGTGATTTTCTTTTTGTTATGTTGTATTACTTTCTTTTTGTTTTGTTTTTTTGAGACAGGGTCTTACTATGTAGTTGAGACTGACCTGAAACTCACTATATAGCCCAGGCCGGTCTCAAACTCAGCGATCCTCCTGCCTCAGCCTCCTGAGTGCTGGGATTACAGGAGTGTGCCACCACGCCTGGCTGTATTACTTTCTTTTATTGCTACATTTTATTACTTTTTTAGAGTTAAGGAATGCTATGCAAGCCAGATTGAAAATAAATTACTCTTCAGAGTACTTATTTATTACATATCACAATTTAAACTAATTGTATGTCTTAATATTCTTGCATTTTGAATATAAATTCTGTGACTTCTTTAGTGCTGTGTTCTGCATTGTGGCTTTCATTTTAAATCTTTTTTTCTGGTACCAGGGATTGAACTCGGGTCCTTGTGCTTGCGAGGCAGGTGCCAAAACCACTGAGCTTCAGCTTAAATCTTGTAAATTATTATTTTTTTCTTGTAAATTATTTTTAACTTATAACTTGTCTATGTATAGAATAAACATGAATATACATGGAATTGATTGATGTAATTTATTTTAGAATTTAGTGGAATATAGTTAATTTCAAGTACTTTTCTCCACTTCTAAGCAGGAAATTATGATCACAGATATACTGAATGGAAACAAATATTTTATAAGTATGGGGGTATTATATTTCTGCTTACAAAAGAACTAAGGAAAGGAGTAACCTAGATAAAGTATTTTTTATCAGGAGTAGAATGCTTGCCTGATGTGTGTGAGGCCTTGGCTTTGGTCCCCTGTATGACCAAAAAAAAAAAATCAAACTATAAAATTTATGTGAACCCAGCTCTATTCTTGACTTTACCTATTTATTTCTGGTGAGAAGTCAGAGTTTTTTTTTAATCATCATTATAAAAACATTAATTGAAAAGTTTAGGAAGAAAGACTAGTGTCAGTGCGATCATCATCATTTTACACTGAGTTTGGGAGAGAATGGAGGGAGGGATGGAGATGTCTCCTAAATGTGCTTTCTTAGGAACTAGTTGTTGTCAGGACAGCTTTAAACTGAATGCTACTAAAGGGGAAGCATATTAATTGATGCAACACTGTTAGAAAGTAAGACATTGTAGTGTCATGATCACAAAAGACAAAATAAGTAGCCAAATATGATGTTTAGTTTCCAAAGTCTATAATGACATACAAAATTTGAATGATAAAGTTGAGATTATAAGGGAAAAGAGTAAATATCTCATGACTCATAGTGATTTTTGAGCGTGGGCTTACCACTCAAATATAACAATGGAAAGATAAGTCATTTTTAAAAATAAGGCTTAGATTTGTTCAAAGGAAAGATAACTACATAGAAAATTGAAGGGCCTTGAATTTAGCTGAGTGGCACTGCACCCTGCCTCGCAAGCACAAAAGCACAAGGACCTGAGTTCAATTCCCTGTACCAAAAAAAAAAAAAAAGAAAAAGAAAATTAAGACATGAGAATAGAAGGAGGTTAAACATCATCAAAAGGAAACTAAAAGAAAGAACCAGGGATAGATAGAGAAGTGGAAGCAGGCTGTTTGCCACCTATATGAGGTGGCGGGTGATGAGGTAGCACGCAGAGAAGACAATCATAAGGCTTAGTGGATTAGGTTGTATAGGAGACTCCTAGGTTCTAGGCACTTAATGGAAATTGTATTTGGCTAAAAGTACATTACGTGATACCTTGTGGATTGGAATGGTTACTTCTCGTAGAGTAGTTCTCAAACCTTAACATGTATCAGATTCTCTTGGAGAATTTACCAAGAATCTTCCCAGAGATTCTAATACAGTAGATCAGAAGAGGCCCAGGAATTTGCATTTGTGACAAGGTGCTTCTGGTGCTACCATTACAAGCACTACACTTTGAGAGCGACTGTCCTACAGAATTAGTAAGTGGTTTTTTTTTTTGGTTTTTTGAGACAGGGTCTCACTATGTCTCACAGCGATCCTCCTGCCTCAGCCTCCTAAGTGCTGGGATTAC